AGTTTCAAGCACTGCTATCATTCCATTATTTATAAACATTCTATAAATAAAATCTGCTATTTGAAACTAAAAATAAAGCAAAATTTTAAATTTTCATTTATATATAAACATTTTGACATTATACAAAACATTAGCTTGATGAATAAATAAAAAGTAGTCTATATAATAAACTTATTCAAAATAATGAAACAGTAATTTTTACTTTAATTTTTTTGTTTCTGTATTAAAAAATTAATGTAGAGAATAAATGATTTTGAAGAATTATGATATATTAGGTTTATAGTCATCTATATGATAGCCTATGTGTCCTTACATTAGAGAGGTTGAGGCGCACGTTTTAAACGTGTACGTGTGACGTTTGGCGCTGCTTTCCCGTAAGCCTAAAAGTTTGACAATGGTGTTTGGATAGTCGGTGGAATCACGCTCGACATTCCAAACACCATCGTCAAACTTTTAGGCTTATGGGGAAAGCGGCGCCGAACGTCACACGTACACGTTTACACGTTTAAAACGTGCGCCTCAACCTCTCTATTGTCTAACCATATAGATGACTATAAATGAACTTTGTCTAACTCCTAGAGAAGTTACTTTCTGAACAACCTAATACATTGAAATAAATTAAGTTCATTTTTTTTACTACTAGATGCATTAGTCGTATTTTTCCTGCCATTTTCATTCTAAACCATATTATCATTATATATTTTGACAGCTGGCATTTTAAGGTTTATTTGTAAAAAAATTTTGTTTGATTTCGTGCAATTGTTTATTTTGTGTGTCCCATCAAATATGGAAAATTGAAAGTAGCATTTTTGGCATATTTTGCTCTTTTATTACCGGAAAGGTAAAAATGCTGTTCAAGCAAGAAAAAAACTGTGATGTGTATGGAGATGTATTGACAGAACAACAGTGCCAAAAATGATTTACAAAATTCCGTGCTGGCAATTTCAATATTGAAGATGCACCACATTCTGGATGGCCAGTTGAAGCCAATGAAAACAAAATAAAGGTACCGATTGAAGCAAATTGCTGAATAACAACATGTGAAATCACTAAGAGATTAAATTTGTCAAATTGAACTGTTTATGATTACATGAAACAAATTGGTTTTGTTTCAAAGCTCAATATATGGGTTCCACATGTTCTTAAAGAGAGATGCTCTCTTTGGTGGAAATTTTTTTTTTGGGAGCTTTTACCAGACAAGTTAACAATTGATTCAAAAGTGTACTGCCATCGAGTAAACAAATTGAGTAATATCATCAAACAGAAAAGGCAGCCAGACTTGATCAACAAAACAGGTGTAGTGTTTTACCACAATAATGTCAAATTGACACAAGTTTGGTAACTCGTCAGAAACTGTAATAACGTAGATGGGACGTGCTATCACACCAACCATATTCGCCAGATCGAGCACACTCAGATTATTACTTGTTCCGGTCTATACAAATTTTTTTTAACTGTAAGACATTTACTTGAAGTGACAATGTCAAAAATCATGTGGATTGGTTTTTTGTAAGCAACGATCAAAACTTTTATGAATGTGAAATCATGCTACTACCAGAAACGATGACAACAGGTATTTGACTAAAATGGTTGATATATAATTCAATAAAATATATATTATAAAAATAGTTTTTTTCCATGGAAAAAACGAACTTACTTTTCTGAACAACCCAATAAAAAACATTGTTTTAGATATTGTTACAAAATAATTGTATTATGAAGAGTTTGCATTCAGCAGAAAATGCAGAGTAACCCAAGATAAAACACTATTCGTATACAATATACAGTATACATTGTGTGTTTATTTAAGCAACTTATATAACTATACACAATTGAATTGTTTTAATTCAGATTTCAGAGGAATTCTAAAATTTCAAATTATCCAATTTTGAAAATTAATTTCTGCAGGTTTCTATTGTTCAGTAATGCAGTACTTCATATTCTTTGACAGTTTCACATTTTACTTTCTTTTCCATTCCATTAGTCACTGCAATATTGTAAGCTAAAGATAAACCTGAATAGTGTGTAGAAATATTTAGTTTAATCTCTACATTTTTTCTGAATGTAAATTTCATAATACAATGTTTTAGTTATTACAAAATAAATAAAATTTCTTTACATTGTCATTTTTCAAAATCATTTATTTTCTGCATTAATTATTTAATATAGAGCCAAAAAATTAATATAAGCTAGTTTTCACCTTAGTTACATTATTTTAAATAAATTAATGAATAAATAAATAAGTTTATAATAAAGCTAATATTTTATTTAAAACGTAAAAACATAAGTAAATAATTCTGAGTCTTGAGTTCCCAAATGTAAGTATGTATAAACCAGATTACTTTGGAATATTTTGTGGCTAGATATTCAATATTGAAACTGAGTAATTTTGACTAAACATAGACAGTTATGCTGTCAATTTCATTAAATTAATATTAATAAATTAACCACTCTGCAGTGATCGATGGATACACCTGTCAAGGGCAATCACGTGGCACTGAAGAATGATGTCTATATCCACAAAATTCTTTTGCAGATATAGACGTCGGAATAAAAAAAGGAATTATGTGACAATAAAAAAAGATTTTTCATTTTTTATTGTCACATAATTCCTTTTTTGTGTGGGAAATTTTTTTATCATGATGTAGAGAAGAATAAACGTGGGAAATTTCTTAAAATTTTCCATGCTTATTCTTCTCTACATTGTGATAGCACCATATCTGACTAACCCTCTGTACAAAGGTTAAGAATATTCTGGAAGAAAAGATTGACCTAGAGAAGGAGTTGAATCAACAATTTCTGGTTGCTATACTGTTACTACTTGGATTGTGCATTTAATTGTTGTTTCCAATCCTATTAATTTGCAGTATGTAACCATACATGTTAATTATGCTGACTGGGATGACTTTGTGCCTATAGCCTACAGTACTCAGCTGAATTACCCTGGTATGTAATGTATGTATTGAGTGATTTAAATTAAAGTGTCTCTATTTAATACTGTTTGGAAAGAGATTTAGCAGTCCAAATGCAACCAAATCTGATTATAACATTTCAGAAGATATAGAAGGCATTTCCATAAAACACTAGTACCAAAACTTAGCACTATGGAACTTTTGATGCTGCAACAAACATTTTATTTGTACTAGACTTTCATACTCTATAGATACCTTAGTGATGCAGAGGATACTGTTCAATGTAGTCTCTATTCTGAATGTGATGAACAATATGTTCAATGGCTGACCATAATTGATTAACTATGATGCATCTCACATTATAAGATTGCTGGATTTACAATGTAACCTCAATAAACCACACTTAAGTATCTCCACAATCAAAAATCTCACAGATCAAAATCCAGAGAATGATGTGGCTGGCCAGGTAGTAGGAAATGCACAATCTAATCACTGTTATTGGTGAAATGCTATTGTATAAACTTTTGTACACTGATATGTGGAAGTGCTTCATCTGCATTAAAGTAGTTGACTCAAGGCATTGACTCTATAGCAATTGGGGTGCACAGTAGTACAACAAAAATGTTGAACATCTTTCAGTATCTCTGGATAATTATAGTATGTCACATGGGGATTTATAGTTATATGACTGATCTAAGATGAATAGCAATGCACCAACATTTTCAGTATTGTAAACATTGTGCCATAGGATACCCAATTGCCATGACAATGCATGAACACTAGAATTTTCAACATTATTCATTGACTGTTCAACAACTGTAGAAACAACTTAAACTTGTAAAGTGATAAGTTTATAGTCTTGATTGGGTTGTACTTCTGGATGACAAGTTTCATTGAGTCAAGTGATTGGTCTCCTGAGACTGTAGAATTAATGGTCATCATAGCTGATAAGAATGACATTCAATAGTTGTAGTCACTTTTATACCTAGGACTTGACTGCAAAATATATGCTTATGTAAAGGAAACTGCTTTTTTGTTGTTTACAATGCCATAGTATTGATATTTGGTCCTAAATTATTTTTATAGAAATGTCTCACAAATCCTGAAATGTCACTATACCAAATTTGTTTGTATTTAGACATCTAAATATTTTTGCAGATAGTATTGAATAGAGGTACTTTAATTACTTCACCTAGTACAGATATCCCCCATACATGGTAACATGGCAATATATTTATGAATTCTATATTTGGACCAGCCTCCAGATGAAAAATAGCAGGTGGTGATATTAGACACAGGAGTGAACATGTTGCTGCTAGTTGATGCACTGATGGAATGTATGAGTTATAAAGCATTGTAACCAGCTCCATTGTGCCCTGTTTTCAGTGTATGTTTATTTACTTAATGTGCAAACTCCCTTACAGTTATTACTGAAACAATAAAACAAGCATTTGCAGTTTGTTTTATTGTTTCAGTAATTTTTAATTATTACATTTATGTTTTTTCCTTTTTATTTTATTTATAAATAGATATTAAATTACTTATATACTGTTTTTGTTCATTTTATGGCAAAAGTTTGCTTACATTATGTGAAATTTATACATGACTTTGGAATGAAATCATAAACAAATTAAGAATTCTCTTTTCTGAGAAAAATATTATTATAAAAGTGAAAAGAATTACGTTTATAAATAGAATAAAAGGTATATGTGTACTATGGGGAAGATAACAACACAGTAATACAATATAATGCTCTAAATAAGGAAGGAAATTAAATGTAATTAGTTTTGTTGATAATCACATTGTCAGCCATGATTCAAATTTTTCGTATTATATTTTAAATCATATGAGTAAAGTAAAGTAGTTTATTATTATTTTTCATTATTACTGTAACTTTATGCTTATATAAATATTCTAATTATTTAAAGAAATAGATAAATAAATAAAACTCACGCCAAAATTGTGTAGCTTCTTGATAAAAAGCACTGAGTTCAGCGTTAATACGATTTTTCTTATATCTTATTTTTATCAAGAAGCTTCTAATTATTTAATTTTAGTCTTATTTAATGTTTAATATTTTTATTTTAGGCATACGAGAAGAGATTTCCAACATGTAAAATGATTCCAGTTTTCTTAGGAAGTGATATATTATCAGAATACAAAAGTGAGGATGGAGCAGTTTATATTATTGAGAGACGATGTAAACTTAATGTAGAAGCACCATATTTATTAAAAAAGGTGAATAGTATCATTTATTAATTATACATGTTAAGTAGAACTGATTCTTAAGTTATGAGTAAACCAATATTCTGGACTTTCTTGCATGAAAATATTTTGATACTTTCAATCTTTAGGATAAATACTTTTAAAAATAATCATTGTTCTCATCTTCAAAACATTTGAGAATAAAATGAGTTAAATTCTAAAAGTATTATGCATGTATATGATATTTAATTGTAAAAAACACTTCAATTTATATATTTTAGTATGATGCATTCCCTGCATGCTCTATATTAGTTTAACATTAATCTGATTACTATAATTATTAAAGTATAAATTTAAAAGAAACAGAGTACATTTGCTCTGATAGGTAAGCTTTTCAAATTGAACAGAATTTAGAAATCCCAAATGAAGCCAGAGAATACAGTGAAATCTCACTTAAGGAGCACCTTGCATAATGAGTATTTTGCATAACAAGTGAAACAAATTAAAAAAATGACTCATTTAATGAGTGATGAAAAGAGGGGAAATTCCTGATTATGTGCATGCTCCATCAGTCTGTGTTTAGCATTCATTCTGCTAGCATCTTATTGTCGCTTGTGATCAAACATTTTTCCAAACTTGTGTTCACATATATTATGCATAAACATCAACAACCATCACCCATTATATAATAAACACGCCAAACAATATGTCAAATTCTTGGGCTATGCAAAGGCTATAATTAAATATTAGAAATTAAATAATTCTACTAGAGGTAGGCAGTTATGCTGCTATCTCATATTAAATTTTTTAAATGTCTAAATTAAAAATTAATTATTTATAATTATTAAATTTAATATGAGATGGTCGCATAACTGCCTACCTCTAGTAGAATTATTTAATTTCTAATATTTAATTATAGCCTTTACATAGCCCAAGAATTTGGCATATCATTTGGCATGTTTATCTGTTTTGCTTAATGAGTGTTTTGCATTACGAGTAAGATTCTGGAATGAATTATGCTCATTAAGTGAGGTTCCACTTATTTGAATTTTTTTAATGGAGATATATTATAATCTTTTAACTAATTATCTGTCTTTTATTATAGATTTAAGCACATTTTGTGTGAAGCTACTAATTAAAGATTGCTAAAATTTTAAAGAATATTGCTTAATTTATATCTATGGATTCAGTATTTTATATTTGAAACTTCCTGTAGAAGCTATTAAAAAAATATATTTTTATTGAATTTTATTCATTCCCAATGAATCATTTGTTCAGTGACTTTTGAATTCAGTTAACAATTAAATGTTTTCAATAAAAATAACCATAAATTGTGTTCATTGAATGGTGTCTATTCTTAGTACAGTATTTAATTAAAATAATTAATTCTTTGTGCTCTGACAGAATTAATTAAAATTTATTTAGTGTATTAAATTACTAAATTAAAACTGAATAATTTTGAATATTTTATTCTTAATATTAAATTTCATAACAAATAAAGAACTTTAAACAAGCTCTTACACTTTTTAAATAAAATCCTGTGTAAGGTAATGACAAAGCTATTATTGTTAGACTTATTATTTTTAATGAGTTTTATTGTTAAATGAAGGTGGTTCTTTCTTCCATACAGATGTTAGTGACATAAAAATTAATAAAGATTTGTTAAAATCTGTAGATTATATTTTATTGATAACAGATGTTAAACAGTTTCTTTTATCTATTAAGTTTATATTTGATTGATAAATTATTATTTTAAACATAAAATAATTCCAATCCCCAATTTTCCACTTTTTATTGGACAGTTGGATATTCCCAAATTTCTTTTATTGGATTTCCAAACTTTTCTTGTCAATTTATTTCCAAAATGGCACATAATTTACCTACCCTTTATACATTGATAACAAAATGGAAATAAATTAAATAGGATAAATATAAAATTTACTAAAAAAATGATTAATTCCTGTTAAACATAATTAAAAATGTAAATAGTACTTTATACTTTAAATTTTACTGAAGATATGTTAATTATAACATATTTTTATTTTTAAAAATAACTAATGTAATATAAATTTGTCCACTAACTACCTCCAAATGTTCCCTAGTAATTTACCAAACCTTTGGCTACATTGAATGACCGTTTGCTGTTTGCTTAGCAACTAGGTTGAGAATTGAAATTGCTTCTAAACTTTAATAACTTTTTAAATACAGTAAAATTTTGATTTAATGGACAAAATTTCTGATGAAAATTAACAACTGTTAATTTCAAAATCTTTCACTGGATGTTTACCCCGAACTGAAGCAATATTTCAAAGCTGTGTGTTGTTTGCATAAATTTTCCATCGGAAATTGCTGAAATGATGTTGCCACACATGCTTAAAATCGAATTTTCTAGAAATATAAATGCTTTACGTGATTATTGTTGAAAGTCAGTTTCATATGCTTTTTAAAACCAGCATTAATTTACTTTTTACTGTTTTATTTTTTATATTAAGCCTGTTTGGAAACTTTTTGATTATATCTTGTAAAATAAAATAACAATAAAAATACTAATGAAAAATAGAACATAATTTAGAATATTTAATTTAATTTTTTATATTGATATAAATAGAAATATAATATCACATAGTAGCCTTATAAATATTTAGTAGTCCCAGTTCAAAGTTCTAGGGTGGTGGAAATTGAAATAATGGTGAATTCTGAGGTGTGCAAAGTTTTTCTCTGTAATGGTCAGGTATGAGATCAAGGACTTAAAAACTGATGGAGATATTCTAAATCTTACAAGTTTTGTTCTAATTTTAAAAAAATAAACTGTTAGTGCTTTCAAATTCTTCCAGAATGCTTAACAGAAATGTAAGGATGTTCTCATTCAAATTTGATTTTGAATTTTTTGGTTTGATGATGGGACAAAGAAGCCCCAAAAAAACCTTTAACAAAATAGATTTGACTGCTGTACTCAGTATTTGATGTATTCTGCTAGAAGTTAATTTTCAGTTAATCAAATAAAAATATTTTGACAGCAAAGATTGATCTAGGATGAGATACAAACCCACAATCCTTGCATATAAGACAAGCTAAATTTTAATAATTAAATTACCCTTAACAGACAGCAAGAATAATTGTTTCTTAGTCCAACTAGCAATTTAGCCTTATGCTTGGCAATTAATTTAGTCTTTTATCACATTGTATGTATAGATAATGATTAAGTTGAATATTTGAGATATTGTATAATCCAAAATAATTATTTTACATAATTTATGTTTCTTTGAATATTAAATAAAATGATTACATTATGTTATAGCATAAACCATATGAGTAAAATATATAAATTTAACATTGTTTTATTTATTTGTTTTTCTAGATTATTGGAGTGGAATTTGTGTATTTTATTCAGAAAAATACTCTTGATAGACGGGAAAGAAGTTTAAAAATAGAGGCGTTCAATGAAAGCTTTTCCTCACGAGTAGTTATTAATGAAAATTGTACATATTCAGTAAGTTTAGTACTTGAGTTAATTTTTATCTTGTTTTATAGTTGGTGTGTGTGTGTGTGTGTGTGTATATATGTATGATGTAATTAAATTATAGATGTTATTTTTATCTTCCATTAATTATATATTTTATCATACATTCTATTTAATTTTTATTGATTAAAAAGTTTATTTTTCTTTAATTTAGTATGTAAAATAGTATTTTTTTTATACAGCAAATTTTATTAGCACTTGCTTAGACTGGATAAAGAATATAAATTAAACTCGAATGCATGATGAAATTTAAAAGATGGATTTTAAGCTCTACAAGTTTATAGAAATATAATGACCTTAACATTCTGGAGTTTATAGAATGAGAATTAAGATATATAAGTAATAATTGCATGTTTTATACCTTTTATAAGTTAGGAATATGGATTATATTCTTAACTTATGTATATGTATTAAGTATACCTAATTTACATCCTTATGTAAGATAAGGATAGAATCTGTATTTTTAGCTTGGTTTGATTTTCCTATTTCAATTTTGCTTTAAAATTTACCCTTAAGTAGAAATTTTGAAATCAAGTACATTTGTAATATAGTTTATTTTGAAAGGTTTAAAATTTTTTAAACTTAATGTATGGAGCATCTTTTTAAACTTTGAAATTAGTAAATACAGTACGATTATAAAGTCCGCCTGCAATGGACCATGTCATGTGGCTTGGATGAATGGTGGCATCATAAATTTAATTTTACTGTAATTAAAGAAAATAATGTTTTATATATATTTATACTGATATAAAGTTGGAGAAATGTTTGAACATAATGCGTTATGTATATTCATTTTATGAACATTGTCCTTATATATTGATTTATTTTATTGTAATGAAATAAAATTAAATAGCAAATAAATAAATAAAAATAAAACTGTAATGTCCACTGATGAGGCTGAAAAGCAAAATATATTTGGAAGAAAAAGGAAAAATAAAGTGAGAAATAGTAAATAAGTTTCTAGTCCATCTGTTTTTAATTCTATCGAAATTGGATTTAAAAGAGTGAATTTCATTTGTATTTCTTAAAGAATTTTTTAAAGAAAAATTTTTTGGAATTTATTAATTTGAAATAAAATTGTTAAGAATTATAAATTTCAAGAAAAATAAAAAAAATTCTAGTTTGGGTCTGTTTAGAAATATTTTTCTTCTTAAATGTGTTTGATATCAGTGTTTTGCTAGTAATTTTCTAAAGTTTAGTATTTAACTTTTTATTGTCGTGAATAAGTAATGATGATTTTATTTGTTCTGTAATATCAGTTAAATTGAGTTTTTCTATTTAACTTGTTTTTATTTTTAGGTTCATCCAGAAAATCCTGATTGGACATGCTTTGAACAAACTGCAAGTTTAGATGTGAAAAGTTTTTTAGGTTTTGAAAATGCTATTGAAAAATTAGCAATGAAACAATACTCTCATAATATCAAAAAGGTAAAAATTTTAAATATTCCTTATTAAACTTATATATTTTTTTTCTTGAATTAAACAAAATTCAATTAATTAATGAATATTTACAAATCCTTACTTGCATATGTGATATTAAAATACTTTATATAGAAGTCAAGCAGTTATATATAGTTAATTAAATATTTAATTGTAAAGATTTCTAGTATTTATTCTCAGATCAACATATATCAGATTGAAATATTCTGTGATGTCTGGCATGTGTAGTGTGCTGAGAATACTGTAATAAATATTTAAATGCAAATGTTTTCTAACATATGTCACATTAGACTTTAAATCAACTATATATAAAAAGTATTTTAAGCTTCAATATATTACTTCATCTTTATAATCTATCAATTAAGTATAATTATCAGTTCTGATACTTACTAAAATTACAAATTAATATTTTCAAAGTACAGTAAGACCCCGCTTAACACTTCCTCAATTAACGCTGATTCAATGTAATACGGTCTGCTCAAAGCCTGAAAAAAGCTCAACATTTACACTGATTCAAATTATTGTGGCATTTCATTGATTATTCCCAAACATGAACCAATCTACAAAAGGTGGCAGGCAATTCATTGTAGCTCTGTGCTTTTCTTAAATCTGTTTATTTGGTGCAAGTTTGGAAAAAATATAACATCATGGATGCCGTAGGCAATATCGACTTGGCTTGGCAAGAATTAACTGATAAATGCATGAACGAAGTGTGGAAGAAGTAATGGCTGAAGGTATTCAATAATTCTCAATGAGAAATCTTTTGCTGTATCGTTAGGTTGATTAAATTGTTAACAGCAGGATATTGAGGAGTTATTGTAGGTTTCTGGTGAGAGCCTTACCAATGATGACCTTAAAGAACCAGCAGAATAAGAAATTCATGTAGAACTGGAAAATAGTGATTCTGAAAACGAAGAACCCAAAAAATTTCTCTATAGATTTCCTTAGTAAAAATTTGGTAATGATAACTGAAATCGTTGATCAAATTGTAACAAATGATCCAAATTTTGAAAGGAGTGCAAAAGCAAGACGAGGCATTTTGGATGTGATCTCTTGCTATTGACATTTGCTTAAGGAAAGAAGAAAGCGACAAATGAAATGACATGACTTTATTGCAAAAAACAAGAATTTCAGAAGAGCCAGAACCTTCATCACAAAAAATGAACTTTACATTTCTGTGTGCATATGTTTGTGTTAAGTTAACATATATTATTATGCAAATTAATATAAAAATAACTTAAAATTAAAGTAAAATCTGTTTATTTTTGGTTGTGTGTTCCCCTTTCCTTATTTACTCTGTTAAAATGACCTCGTTTAACGCTTTGTCATCTAGTAGCACATCCCTTGTGTTAAGCAGGGTTTTACTGTACTAAATGGAAAGTATATCTCAAAGTAATGTAAGATATATAGAAATTCCATATAACTAATATCTGGCTTTGAAGTTATTTATAAAGTAAAATTTGCTGAAACTAGAATATTAAACAATTGCTTGCAGTTTTGAGTTTCTAATTTTTTATCTGAAAATATTTTTAAGTGCATTTTTATGCAATTTTGTTTTTGAATATTTGAGATATTTGTGAAGTTTTAATTNGATATTTTCTATAGAATAGTCGGGTTAGTCATATATAAAAAAAAATTCCACTAAAATTTATCGACATAAATTGTATTAAAAACACATATCAGTTGGTGAGGAAATAAAAAATTGGATTTACTTTAAATTTTTAGAAATATTTTATGCCAAACAGAGGAGAAAAATCGAAATTCTCCGGTCATTTAGAAATCTCTTTAAAATTTTAAAAGTACTTTTTCTCCCATTCGTCATACTAGTAATTTCAAAACCTAAGTATCCATTAGAAAGCACGTATAATTCTTACTCTGAAACTGAAACTGAAATAAATCTTCATCTGCTATATAGGCAAATAGCTAAACTTCAATATATGCATTATTCGAATTGAAGTAAATCGTCAAATAAAATTTCACTATAATTATGAAAAAATTTTACGAAATTATTGAGTATGATTTAATTAATTAAACAAAGTAATTACAAATCGCGTATTTATATAATTTATAATTATTTTTACAATTATTTAATTTTAATTTTTGGTTGGTTGTAATATGGAATCCAACTTTTCAGTAGACAAATATTTTGATTAAAAAAAAAGTCTACTGAGATCTCATTCTGCATGGAGTAATACAGTAATATTAGGCTATAATAATAATAATATTAAAAATTATTTATGTTGGAAAATTACTAACTAATGATATCGATAACATACTTATATATAGGCTAAATATTTAATATAGAACTAGAAAAAAATACGTGCAAATATAATTTTAAGTAGGGTGATTTCAGTTTAAATAGGTCTGTACCATAAACTGCAAATAAAATTTTATTGTTAGTTTTACTTTTATTTAAACGAAAACATAAGTGAAAGTGATTCGACACAGCCAATAATTAATATATCAGGTCTGCTAAAACAGTAATTATAATTTAATAATATCTTCCACTTTACGAACAGTTACATAAATAAATAAACTTGCTAATTATAGAAGAATATTTATTTTTGCCCATTTAAAAATTTGTTAGATTAATCAAGCAAATATTTCAAAAATTTTTTTCTCATTTTACTAATGAATTTTGTACTAATTACGGTTATTAAGATAATATTTGTGTGAAAAATATTATACATATTATGTATTAATATGTATTTTTTTCATTTAAGTTAAAAATGTTAATATATATTTTTTTCATTTAAGTTAAAAATTTTATTTATTTATTTAATGCTTCTTATATAGCCTAAAGTATTATAATTATAATTATTTTCTATCTAAATACAATATTATAAACTAAGAACTTCTTATAGCTTTTTTATTTAATGAAATGAAAACAGAAGATTGAAGTAATTGTTTCGGTAATTCTGAAAATTTAGATGTTATTGTAATCTGTAATGTATGACTCTCCAAAGAACCATATTTAATCTTTTTTTTCCTGAAATGATTTACTTAAATGACATTTAAATCTAATTTACATTTCTCATTTTAATTCTTGATAATGCAGCGGGGACAAATAAATAATTATAGATAATAAATGCAGTTTTAATGTAATGTAGTAATAATTCATAAAATATTTTTTGAGGGATTAATAAGCATAACATATGTTAATAATATAAAACTAATAACACATTTGGCTTTTAAATAGGGAAAAGAAATTATTGAATATTACATCAATGAACTTATCAGTGAAGGAATTACTTACATACCTCGTTTTGAAGATAAGCCTGCATTGCCAAAAATACATGTGACAGAAAATATTAATTCTTCAAATAAATCGGATTTAAATAATAGAAGAGGTAGCATACCTCATCAGTCTTCTATAATTCAAGAAGGACATCAACTAAGTGGTACTGTAGTTAATTTTAGTAGCAGTTTTATAGGAATTTGATGTAGTAGTTTTTTCAAAGATGCAGATTAAATACTTAATTATAATTTTCTCTTAATGCATTTAATTTTAAAAGTTTAAATTTAGAATGAACAAATGAGTATTAAAAAAATTGAAAAATTAAACTAAGACACTTGATTATCCAGGATATCAAATTATCCTGGTTAATCTGGTATTATTTAAATTCAGTAAACAGAACAGGTAAAGGACATCAATTAAGTAAACAGAACAGGTAAATTTTCAAAGAAACATGAAGAGAACAATGCATGTGAATAACTACTCGCATTTATTCATAAACTGAACACTTCAGCAAAGTATTTTAATTTCCTTCAACCATTAGCCAATAGTGGGCAGAGTGGATGAATCATAAAAAAATTTGGATGAATTAATGACTCATCCATAGGCATTTTTGACATCCTGGTTAATTGCTTTCCAGTTAATGTGATCCTGGATGATTGAGAGTCTACTGTAATTGTAACATAATGCTTAGATGTGAATAGTATTCAAATCTACAATCTCACTGCACACTAGTAATTTTTTAGGTATTCGTTCAGAATAATTTAAATATATCATTTTAGATAGATGGGTGCAGTAGTTATCAATAATTGTGTTCTTATTTTCCTCCATACATAATAATCATCATTTTTAGTATCAATACAATTAAAAATATATCTACATTATATATTTATATTAGTTGAATAACTATTGCTAAAATAACAATTAAAAATTACTATTGACCAAATATCTAGAAATGTATTGGGAGTGACAAGTCCAATTATCAAACATTCTGTTATAATGAAGAAATTTTTATTCTTTGAAAAGAATTACTACAGTTATTGTTGGAACTAAATCTTTACTGGTTCTATAAAATTCAGCAGTTGATCTGGAAGGGAATTCAAGATTGATATGTTATGAGGGCATATAACTCTTAATATCAGAATGTTGGATAAAAAGTTAAAGGAAATACAGTAGAGCATTAATTATCCAAATACCGATCAACCAAAACGTCAGTTAACCAAAAGCATTCCAGTCGGCAAATTCAAATTTCTGCTAGTACTGTGGCACTGCAATATTTGGCTATGTCTTGGGCTATTCCAATATCATTTTTGTTGGTGTGCTTGTTTTAGCTGGCACATGAGAGGGTACTTAAGGATGCGCCAGTATCTGAACGAGGCTTTTTCCCATCATGGGTGGTGAGTTTTGCTTGTTTTGTGTGGTGTTTTTTGATGACTGTGCGTCAGGACATGTTGTGCTGAATTGGAACATTTTTGATAGTAGATTAACTTCTGAAATATAATTTTTTTGTTTTTATATTATTCAATATATTTATTTTGTTTGTGTAAAATAAAGAAATAATTTTTAATGATACAATAGCTACGATTATTATTTTTTAAAAATTTTCGTTAGGCTTAACATCGACGAAAATTCAATATGAAGCGACATGCAATGGAGAAAAATTTCAACATGGGATAGGTTAATATATTTTTTGTACATGATCAGTTAGCCAAAAAATCAGTTATCTGAACAACCCTAGTCACGAATTGTTTCAGATAATCGATGCTCTACTGTACTGATTTTAAATAACATTTGAGAATGAAAATAAGATTAAAATTTTAAATCTTATTTTTAATTTTTGTTAAAAAGAAAAAAAATTAATAAATTATTAAATTTTCTGCATTTTGCAAAATTACAAGAAATCTGGGAAGTAAATGCTAAAATAATCATTAATTTTGACCAATTATTCATTGATTTGTTGAAGTCTTTTTACACTTACAGATTTAAGTAACTCAATTTACCTTCAATTACTTACAAAACTTTTGGACAATGAGGTCTATTATTAGAGGAATTAGAAACAAATGAACAAAATTAAGGATGAAATCAAGTTATCTTTTTTGTTTTGTAATTTCGATGATGATGATGTTATCATTGAAAAGTTCTTTGGATTAACTGAAGGTGAATTAATGTACTTAACACTAAGTATGAAGAAATTCTGACAAATTACTTAAAAAGTAGTTAATTTTAAAGTTTGGTTTTTAGTTAAGTATTGATTTTAATTTAAAATATTGACTTTCCTTAAAATTAGGAAATAAATATATATCAAATATAAGTTCTTATATATAAGAACTTATATTTGATATAAATAATATATTAAATTTTATTAATAGATTTATATTAATTATCTTTTTAATAGATGTAAACTTGAAGTTAGAATCTGAATATATTGAACGTTGTTTGGGAGAATTGACACCCTTTCAAGAATCATGTCTTGTTCAGCTAAAAAAATGGATGGCTGAAGCTCACCAAGGAAAAGTAAGTTCATCTTCATTACATTTAGAATGCTTTTTATTTTTTTAAGAAACTTTCAAGCAATTTTTTGTATATTTTCAAGGATACTAAACTATGTAAATGTATTAAGTTTCAAAGATAAATTATGAAAATTTAAAAATCACTTATAACTAATTGTTGAAAAACTTATCAATTTGAATTAATAAAACATAACTATCAAATACAAATGTCAATTTTTTAAAATTTTACATATAGAAACAAATGAATCTGTTTAAAGATTACAAAATGTGTATTATACTAATTTATAAAAACCTGATAAATTTTCAATATATTAATAATGTTAGGATCAATAAGAATTTTTCATTTTTAAAATGAAAGAAAGATGATTATTTTTATTCATTTATTTTTTCAAAAATTACATCAGAATTGAGACCCAAAAGAATACATTTGTAGACAGTAAGGAATTCTTATGTAAAATTTTAGCTAAATTGATTCAATAGCTTTTCTGATATGCCTTATTCATTATACTGAAAGTTGTATATGTAAACTAGCTGTTACCCGCAACTTTGCCTGCGGAGGTTTTACAAGCAAACTCCATTTATATTCAGTAATTGTTATATAACACCTACTGCTGAGAATCAAATGAACTGTTTTCAATTTGATCAATTTTCTGGAACGTTCATAATTGTTCTATAATTGAACCAATAAGAAATAACAAATTCGAATTTAAAACAGTTTGAACATTTAGTTAAAAAATCAAAATGTATAAAAATATTTATAACAATGTCTGAAATGTTATCAGTTTAATACACCTAAGTACTCAATGAAGACTAAACGTAGTTGAAAACAAAAAAATCACATCTAAAATAGTACAGTAGAAGCCGTTCTTCAGGTTAAGCCTTAATCCTCTCCCTCTCCCCCACGGGGAAATTTCAAAAATTCACTTCCTTTTTAGTGTGCGTTTCCATGATGTACCCTAACTGTGTACCAAATTTTACCTCTAGGTTCAGCGGTTTGCTCTGGGCAATGATGAATTAGTAACTCAGTCAGTCAGGACAAGTAATTTTATATATTTAGATGATATTTTTAGCTCAGTGATTACTTTTATTTGTTTTCTTTTAGTAGATCAAAATTATAAACATGTAAATTTATTTTAAGTTATGAATTATGGTAGAGAAAATTTGAATTACTCTGTATTCAAACAAAAACAAATTTGTTTAAATGAAGCAGTTTTGAATCTCTTGATTCATCTTCTCATTAGAAATTTTTGTTTTAACAGTTTTTTTAAAAAAAGTAACCTAATTAATTATTGAAAAAATTTAAACAGATTTTTGAAAATTATTTTAAAACTGTTAATCTAATGATGACTTTACAGGTTCCAAGTGATCAAACTCTTGTTCGATTTCTACAAGCTCAAGATTATAGTTTAGAAAAAGCCAGAGAGATGTTATGTCATTCTTTAGTGTGGAGAAAAAAGTATCAAGTTGATCGTATTTTAAGTACTTATAATTCACCAAAAGTTGTAAAAGAATATTTTCCGGGTGGTTGGCATCATTTTGATATAGGTAAATTAAAATAAATTGTTAAATTATTGATGTTTTGTTTCAAAAAGCAATCAAAATGCAATATTTTTATATTCTACACAATATTGAATAAAAAACTTGTTTTATTTTTTGATAAACTAATGTTAAAAATACTTAATTTTGAAGCATTTGAAAAGCTTAATTAGCTTTTATGAGAGCTGGTAGTTTGAAGCATTGTGAAATGAATGACAATTGAAAATGCTAATGTTAATAAGTTGTCATTATATTTTGAATTCTGCAGTTTTGAAATTAAAATTTATAATTAGTATTTTATTTCTTTAGATTTAATTGCTGTATTTTTTTACATAGTGTTTGACTACAGCATTATCAACACAAAATTGTTATTTTATAGATTTTTTTTTAAATCTATAAAACAATGATTTATTAAGTGAAATAAATTATCCAATAATGGATCTGTTTTTGTGTGAAATCTGTTTTTAGTATATCTTTTTATTAAGTTAAACTGATTATAATTGCATATTTTTCTGTTTCAAATACTTTAACAGTAAGTTAGATCTAATTGCATTTTGAATTAATATATTTAGAAATAACAAAATCTTGATTGCTATTATTTCTAATTAAAATAAAATATTCTTTGAGCAAACTAGATGTGAGACAATGAGATACAAAAAACACACTGTACTGATTTCCAGCACTTGGTTTAACAAAATAAAAATACTGAGAAAGATCTGTGAATAGTCAAAAATGTTTTTATTGTATTAAACTCAATGCTGGAAGTCAATAAGGTGTGTTTTTTATCCTATCATTATTATTTCTGATTTTTTTTACCTTGATTTATGTATTTTTAAATGCTGAGATTCCTCTCATTAGATTAATATAGTCAACCATGCAAAAATAATTTGTGATTTTTTTTTTTTAAGATGGAAGACCACTGTATATACTTCGTCTTGGACAAATGGATGTGAAAGGCTTCATTAAGTCGATTGGAGAAGAAGGGCTAGTCAAATTGGTATTTACTTTTTATTCTCATGAATATCTGAATTTATTTATATTAATTACTTTAAAATGTTATTTTTATATCTTATTTTAATTATGGGAATTTGGATCAGGATTTGAACCTGAATCTGCTACAGTTGTAAGTTAACACCTTGCCATATTGCCATCTTATTGACTACACATGATTTGTTTGATCATTATAATGAAGATTTTNTATTTATTTATATATATATTTAAAACTTTTTCAGACATTACATGTTTGTGAAGAAGGATTAAGAAGAGCTGAAGAAGCAACAAGATTAGGTGGAAAACCAGTTAGGTTAGTAAAATAATCTTAAAATATTATATTGATTAATCAGTCATTACATTTAGATTTATTAAAATGAATTTGTAATAAAATTGAAATATTTTTTTATTGTATAAGTTACATTTAAAACTATTTAAATCCTTAATATTCTGATTACATGTTTATTTAAAGTTTGTTTTAAAAATTACCATTCTAAGATGATGCCTCTCTTATTCTATTAAATTAAAAACATATTGTAAAAAATTGCACAAATTCAATAAGTATTTTTTACTATTATATAACTTGTTTTCTAATTTAAATTACAATAAATATTTTGGATATTTATCTAATTATTACTTTCCCATTATCTACTCTGCATAATATATCTATCTTCTCTATAACTTTTAATTATATATTCTAATAATAAACTTATTAATATTAAGAGTAGGGGAAGATTTTAAAATTAACTTGAAATTTATTTTTTTGGCATTTTTAATGTCAAAATATTGATGTATTGAAATATACTGTGTTTTCAATGGTAATAAATATTGAAAATAGATTATAGCCTCACTGTAGCAACTAAGCTAATGATGTGGGCAAGGGGAAAAAAGTAATTGTATACTGGAAAAAACCTGCTATTATCCATGAATGCAGAACAAAAGGCTGTCCATAAATTACATTTGCATTTTTCTTGAAATATTTACTTTGCCCTGGTTCCAGTTTGTTCAAGTTTCTGTAATCTCTTTCTCTCTTTGGACATTCAACAAAACTCAATCCCCTTAAAACTTTCATTTTATGAATGACAGATACCATAAGTGGAAATGAAATATAATTTTGAAATTACTAATATAAAAGCCTTAAGAATGAATAATAAGAATGTTAACTTACCCTAGAACAGTGATTCTCAACCACTGTTTTGTGGAACTTGTGCCACCACTGTGAACACCCATACATAAGTGACATCAGACAAGTAGTTTAATTAGTCCTACCTTCCCAGGGCACATTTGGAAATTGTAACTGGTGTCCGGTAACTGCCAGTAGTTACCAAGGCAGTTACCTAAAAAGCCAACAGCGTTTAAAAATTACTGTTATGATGTCATTGGTTGTCCTGCGGTACTTACTGAAGTAACCGTGTGTACCGCCAAATTTTTAAATTATTAAAAGTATACCATGATGAAAAAAAGAACATTATTGTTAAAGTGGTTAGAAACAAGTAAAATGAAGAGAAAATGCTGCATTAAATAGACAACTGGGAGTTAAGATTTTGTATCTTAAAATGGAATATGTTTTTGTTGTTTTTGAAAAATAATAAAAAATGAATTAAAAAATTTAGATAATTTTAGTACCAAACCATACAAGAACCATAGCAAAAAATATTAACAGTAAATATATAAATAATGAACATAATGATTTAGAAAAAGATAATATAGTTTATTCATTAGATTGCAGTTGTTCACATTAAAAATGATACATTGGTGAAACCAGAAGAAAATTAAAGACAAGAATTAAAGAACATATATATTTATGCCATCAAAAACAATTTGATATCATCATCAGTGGCACAACATTGTAATACCAAATGTTATGAAATTTTAAAAGATATTGTTAAGAGTATTCTGACATAAAACAATCAATTAAAAAGAAGACTACAGGAACACACAGAAATTCTGAAAATACAGGAAGACATTAGAATTAATAACATGAGACTGAAGCTACATGAGGGATGGAATGACATCATTTTTACATAACCTTGAAACAGATGCTGAACAGATGTGGGAGTAAAGTCATATCACATTGTAAAATGAATTGTAACAAGGCAGTTGGCTTCACACAGACTTATGGATTTGGTGTATTTGTTTTAAGGTATGGAAACCAATTATTTTAATAATAATTTCATTGTTAGTTTCCCTCCCTTTTGGTTTTTAATATACTTAACAATATTATTAATAGTAGAACCATCTACCAGAATTCAGAAAATATGGAGAAAATAAGACATTTACTGGTCCCAAATAATTTGATATATCACATTATTATATAAAAGAATTTTATGCTCAATAGTTTTAGTTCTTTAGTATATGGGTTGTATTACAAATTTTAAATACAGTGCACTGTATATATCAAAAATTCCTTTGTATTGGTTAACTATTAGTACCAACATATAAATATAACACTGTGTGTTTGTAAGCTGATGAGGGGTCCTTGTACCCAAAATGCATTCTTACCTAAATTTGGAGGTGATTATTAAAGACTAACTTTTTTGTAAAAGATATCTTATTTTTTTCTGTCACCCTTGATGTGATAAGCCCTCCAAATTGTTAATTCCTTTTTATTAGGCTATCTAATTCTAAGTAAAAAGTGTGTGTGTGTGAATTCCTTATAATTCCTACAATTTATGTCCAATTCAAATGAAATTTTGGTTATATTTGTTTTATGTTCTGACAAAGTATAGACTACTTATTTTATGGAAATATTAGCTATGGAATAAACATTCTATTGATTTGGGATCAGTGATCGCACCTATGTTGCAGTGATGTTAGTGACCTCATTTAGTTCATGCTTGACAAGTGACCCTTAGGTTGTATTTTTAGATATTTTGGCAAATGACACATTTTAATTTTACTTTATTTAATTTAAACTTTAAAAAAAGGTAGCCTCAAAGTGTCACTTCTATAACAAATTTTTAAAACTATTTTCATTATTGACCACATGATATTCTATTATCCAATCGGAAGTAATGATCTAATGAGCCCGTTATTTAAAAGTGCTATCAATCATCTATGTAACGTACTGTAAAGTACATAAATTTATCTTTGGACTAAATTATCAATGTGGAATTAAAGACTTGCTATTTTTAAAAAAACATGCCTAAAGAAAAGCATTGAGAGTAAAATTGGTCAGGTAAATTCTAGATTTAAAAGAATAAGAATGACTGAGACCCTTGAAGGCCATGAAGTCCAACTTTAGCAACATAGAGTAAGAATGGCTTTGTCAAGAACTTCAGAAACAGCATCACAATGTCAAGCTCAAGTATAAACTACTTAATTTGTAGAAATATTAGCAACTCTTATTGAATTTTTTGAAATCTTTACTGAAAATCTTCTCAATTCTTCAATCTACTTTCTCAAAAAAAGTATTCTGTCATTCTTGACAGGGGAATTTCTAATAAATATAATAAAATGTATAAAATTAATGGACTTCTGAAACTCAGCTTGCCCTCCCCCATTTCCAATTTGTCATAACTCCTCCTCTACAGTTTTTGGGACTGTCCATAACTCTTTACGGACAGTCCCAAAAACTGTAGAGCAAATTTACATATACATGATTACAATGATGCAAAAGTTGTTGGAAACCAATTTTAAGTAAAATAGATTTCAGTAAAGTAGTTAATAAATTGATTTATGGAAATTAGCTAGATTAACAAAAACAGATGAATAGTACTTGATAAATTTTGAAAATACTGAGGTTCAAAAAGCTGTTCTACAAGCATTTCTTGTAAGAGTGAACTGAAGGATCAAGAAGAGCCAAAGTTTTTGAGAATTAAACAATTGTAAGAAATCAACCTTAACCATAAGATGCAGACTCTTTCTTTAGTATTAACTAATAAATTATATATTAATTTTAATGTTATAATAAAATGGAGCTTTTGAAAGGTTGCTAGTTTACATTAAAACAGAATATTAAGGATGAAACATTTTTCATAAACAATAATGTAGACTTAGTTTATTAAATCTTGAATAAATTGATATATAATGATAATACTATATATGTAATGATCATTGTGTAAATGACTACATTCTTACACCCAGAAAAACATCTTTGAAGAGTTTTGGAGAAAGGCACATGTAAGCAAAATTTTTTTTGTGTGTGCACAACTAATTTTCACTAAACAAAAATTTTATTGCTATTTATTAAATGAGTAGAGCATTTTTTGCATGATTTTTTTTTAAATTTTATTTTGAAAAATGCATAATAATTATAGTTGTAGTAAATTTTCTCTTAAATTAATCTAAGGTTAGAAAGAAGAAAACTCATTTGTGTACAAGGAATATAACTAAAACCCAAAACTATTATTAAACATAAGCTAAAAACTAATCTATTTTTAGGCTATATTTATTTATCTATTAATGGTATTTAACCTGAAGGTAGATGGCTGTGCTATCGTCTTGTATCCAAGTTAATAATAGAAATTAATTTTAAATGAGTTAAATATAGAAAATTTTGGATGAAAGGATCAATCCATAGATTGCATACAGAAAGATAGGTCTAAAACTAATGTGTGTGTGATATGTGGGAGTGGCAGATTTAAGCCTTGTCCTGAGACATGTTTAGTAATGCAGATATCTGACCATGTTTGAAAAGATATGCTTACTGGATGGCTGAGTGGCATTTGATACTGCCCGTTTTCAGAAATCTGACTGTTTCTTTCAGACTAAAAAAAACCTCTGTCTTAACCATACAAAAATAGCCAGCTCTGTCAGGAAAAAAATGTTTGAATTTCAATGGTATTGAAAATCAATAATTTCCACTGAATTTTCTGCACAATTATTATTAAAGGGTGGATTTTGAAGAATATAAAAGTGAAAAAATAGCAAAGAAAATCTCAAGAAAGAACAACAAAGATTCAAAGATAGCAATAATACATTTTTGTAATTTTTCAATTAAAAAAAATCCAGAAAAATAACATGTGGAAAAAGATAGACCAGCAGTTAATTTTACAAAAAAATTAACTGCATTGTATTTTCATTAAAATGAATGATGATAGTGTTTGAGCAGGGCTGGCCCAAAGAAAGCAGGTTTAATTAATTACCTGGCTAATAAAGAAAAATCAACTAGATTTTTTATTATTAGTCAGGTAATTAATTATAAAATAAAATTAATTTTGATTTTTCTGATATTTAAAATTTTTACAATCGTGGATATTCAGATAAGATGTCTATGCTGCTGCATGACTCCGAATTGTTCTTTTCTTTTAAAATTTTCTAAATTAATTAGTATTTTATTTAAATCCAAGACACGAGATTCCTACCTCCAGGCCAGATTCTATTAATAAATTAGCATAAATATAGCTTGAAAATAATCCAGTCTTCAAGCTTACGTTTGTTAAAATTTATTCGGAAATTCTAAAATAGTATTATCATGTAAATCATAACTTGCAAATTTTTATTCAATTATTCCTGAAAAATATATTTCAATAAAGAGGAATATCTTATTTCAGAATTATTTCTAGAATTTAAAAAAATTTATATAATTTTTTTTCTTCTAAACTTTAAAGTTTTAACAATATTAAACTGTCTCAAAAGGAAAATCAAGCTTTTGCGGAATGATACAAATATTGGAACTGTTTATGATTGGTAGGAAAATAATTAATTTTCCATTAATNTAGAAAGAGGAAACGTTTAGGAATAGTTAAAGCTCTTGGTGAAAGTATTCAATGTTTATATTTCAAGAATGTGTTTTCTTTGGACATGATTTTGTAAATATGTCACTAAATTTGTGTTTTCTTTATCTTTCTGAAACCGATCCAAATTGTTTTCAATACAAAATGACAATATATCAAACTATTAATGAAACATTGAATATTAAATGGCTAGTATTTAGTTATAAACTTTAAAGTTTTAACAATATTAAACTGTCTCAAAAGGAAAATCAAGCTTTTGCGGAATGATACAAATATTGGAACTGTTTATGATTGGTAGGAAAATAATTAATTTTCCATTAATGGTTTGAAATGAAATTTCACTTGCATGTTTTTATAATGGGCACTTAATAATATTAAATATAATGGTGTTATTAGCATGCATGGTGGAAGTTATGCTTGACTTGGCTTATTTACATTTTAAATTTAAGCATATTTTCCAAGTAGTAAACATTATAAGCTAGATATAAGTTTAAAAGAAATGTTATAGAATTAATCTCTATTACAATAATATAAATATAAGATTTTTTTAGTGATAACTGGTTCTTTAAGTTTAAACTTGAATTACCTTTTTTGCAAAGGAGATGCCTTTTTTTTCATTGAAGATTTTTAAAATTTAAATGAAAGATTGAATGTTTAAATGATTTATAATAATCAATAATGTATGAAAATTTAGTTTTTAATTATTTTTAAACTTAAGGAATCAATTATTTCAAAATGTATTATAAATAAAAATTAAATTTTTATTATCAGAAATCTTGCAGTTTCTTGTAATTGATGTAATTACAGTCAAACATCAATATAATAGATCCTCACTATTGCCGTCCTTGTGAAGTATCAATGAATACTTGTGAATGGAATTTACCATTATTATTATTCTTAACTTTGATAATTACAGTATAGATCTTATGATGCCTCTAAACATTGTTAACGATACCTAAATTATTGTTAAAATATGATTTGGTATAGTATCACCACTCTGACTTAGGCATGTGTCTCTTTTTATCTAAAACCAGTTTTGATAATCCACCATATTAATTGTATGTGAAACTTCTAATGATGAATGTCTCATTTAAATTATTAATTTAATGTGTATTTTTTCATCTGATTTGTTAATACAAGACACAGAATTCCAAGAAATAACATTAGATTTCTTTTTAATGAAAATACAAGTCTTTGTATTTTAAGCTGTTTAAATATCACAAATTGAAAACTTGTAGCATTACCAAACTTTTGAGTTATGTTTCTCTGATCGCTCAGTAGTTGCTTATTGGAATAAATTTTATAAATGCTGTGTAGAGGTGATATTGCGTTTTAATTGTAAAATGTTTACATCTGAGTTATTGTAGTTTAATTTGTACATAAACACCATTTAAATGATGCATTAATATACTCCTTTTTATTATAATTTTGTTAAAATAAATGCACAAAAGTAACTTGTAAATTCAACTTAATACTATTATTGATGTTTGCATTTTAGTTCTTGGACTTGTTTATTGGATTTGGAAGGTTTAAACATGAGACATTTGTGGAGACCCGGAGTTAAAGCTCTCTTACATATCATAGAAATTGTTGAAGCCAACTATCCAGAAACTATGGGAAGAGTGTTAATTGTTCGTGCGCCTCGTGTCTTTCCCATTCTTTGGACGCTTGTTAGCACATTTATTAACGACAACACACGTTCTAAATTTGTATTTTATGGTGGTAATGATTATCAAGGTTCTGGAGGTCTGTTAGAATTTGTTGATAAAAGTGTCATTCCTGATTTTCTTGGTGGAGAATGTCAGGTAAGAGAAATTATTATTACTACAAATAATTCTGCATGATATAAACATTTTTATTATTCACACAGATAAATTCTGAAACATTATATCATTACTTATTTGTCATACAAATATTATAGCATTTTTATGTAGTCCTTGTTTAGTATGCTTTCAGTTAACAAATTCTTAGACAATTTTCAAACTAAAAGTATTGCAATTCTACATGGAAGAGTACCTGTACATAGAGTAACTTTGTGAACACTGAAATTGCACAAGGCTTTGTTTCATTTAATTAATTAACCCCTTAACGCCCATAACATTAAAGGTGTCTCATATCAGAGGTTTCACTGTAATATATGGTAATGTATTTTGTCAACCAATGGTAATGTCAACCAATTTATTAAGTTTTGCAAATCCTTTTGCTGCATTGCGTGGTCATCATCAGTCTTTACTGCCCATTGCAGGACATAGATCTCTTCAGTGACTTCTATCTTGACTTTCCTGCATCCAATTCACTCCAGTCTATTCTCTGTCACTTCTCAATTTTGGTCATCCATGCATTCTTCATGATCTTGTGTCCACTGTTATTATTTATCCATCAATCATCTGTAACTCTTCCCACATGCCAAACCCAACCGTACTTTCTCTCTCTGACCCTTTGTATAATATCTAATCCTAATTCATGTTCTTATTTCTTCAATTTTCATCCTATCTCAGGGTTATCCCTAACATAATTCTTTCTATTTTTCTCTGTATGGAATTGACTGTATTTTCATTTATTAGCTTTTATAGATAAGTTAGTAATAAGTGATATTACCTCAATCTATTCTCTTGCTATCTTATCATAGCCCACATCTCCAAACCATATGTCAGCACAAGCAAAATAAAACTGTCAAAGATTTTTCACTTCATACACATTGGCATGCTTTTATCTCAGAAGTGATGAGTATTTTCTATACAATTGCCATCATCATTGCATTCTTGCAGTTATTTCATCCTTCTTCCCATGGTTAACTGTAATATATTGTCCCAAATATTTATATTTGTCTACTACTATAAATCCCACTTGTTTTATTTATGGCGAATTATTATATATAATTTTAGTTTTGTCTTTATTAATTTTTAATCCTGTTTTAAGGCTATAGTTCTTTTCAGTATAACTTTTATTTCTGTTGCATTACTTGAAATCAGAATAACATCATTTGCATATCAAAGATGATTAAAGTTGTCATCATGTACTTGTGTAATCATTCATATATCTTTTTTCTCCCAGTCTAATTGTCTAAAAATGCCTTCCAAAGCTACATTAAACTGATTGGGTGATATAGTATGTCCATGCCTAACTCCTCTCTCTATTTTAATTATTCTATAAGACTGGTCTATTCTATTTCTTATTTCAGATGTTTCATTTGTATAATATCTGTTAGAATTCTCAGATACATGTCCTGTATTCCTTGGTTTGCTAGTGTTTCCAGCATTTTTGAAGTTATTACAATATCAGAAGCTTTTTCATGATATCACTTGCATCATTATATCATTTGCCTGTGTTTATGCTATAAAAGTATAAACACAGACAAATGATATTTTGTGGTTTTCTCTATTAATTGGTTGATTTGTTTGTAGATGATCTGATCTAAAGTTGAGTAATTCTTACAAAATACTGCCTGTTCTCTAGGTTGGTTATAATCCAAAACATTCTTCAGTCTTTTACATAATATCTTTGTAAATAATTTATAAATAAATGGGAAGAGAGTAATAGGTCTGTTATTTCTTATTTCTCCTATCACATATTTATAAGTCAGAATAATCTGACCATGTTTCCAACTTTCTTTGGTACCATTCTAATTTTCAAGCATTGGGTAAGGAGGACAGAAAGGTGTCTGATTACAATATCTCACTCTTTCTAACTATTCCTGATGGATAAAGCACCAGACATCTGGGCCTGGTACATTAGCCATCTTCATAAATTTAATGGCATAGTCTATCTCAGTGTTTCCCAACATGGGGCCCATGCCCCACAGGGAGCAATTGGATTGTAAAGGGGGCAATTAAAAAAAGGACTTGTCCAGAGTTTAAGTTAACTGTATAGCCGCTGTATGCGTTAGGAGGAGCATAAGAATTTTAGAAAGGCTTAGGTGGAGCATAGCACAAAAAAGGTTGGGAAACACTGGTCTAGCTCTTCTGTTATAATATGTAAAATATATTCAGTAAAATCTAGGTTAATATTGTATACACTTAAGTTATCTCTACAAATCTTGGAAAAAAATCACAATTATTTTTAAGATTTTCTTTCTATTTGTAATAACAGTTCTAGTATTATCAATTATCATAGTTTTTCCCTGTTTTAATGTTTTGGTACTCTGTTAATTCCTTTAGAATTCTCTATTGCTTGTTTTTTGTATTGAAGATTAAATTTATGAATATTTTCTGATATTTTTATTTATTGTTTTAATAATGATTCAAATAAATATCATATGCTTAATATATCATAGAATTACATCTATTAATCTACTGAATAAAAATAATAAAAAATTTTTTATTTTTCATAAACCTTCATATGTATAATTCAAACTGTCCATTTTCTCCTCTTCTAATTTGAGATTTAGGGCTTTCATTATATTACAAAACTTGCATTTTCTTTTAAATAGGTAAATGTCTCTTCAATCCGATCAAGTTTTTGGTAGACTTTCTCACAGCTCACAGGTTATAAAACCCCTTTATTGTTTACATATGCATGTGGATGGCGTGGCGTGTGGCACTTCATTCAAAACTTTTATTTTATCAATCGTCGCGCGGAATGAAAACAAAGTAGAAGATTGGTTCAAGCAACGTCAGAGGTTCCAGCACTGAAGAGGGGCTAGGAAATCAAACTTGCCCGAAATGCATATGTAAACAATAAAGGGGTTTTATAACCTGTGAGCTGTGAGAAAGTCTACCGAAAATTTGTTCGGATTGAAGAGACATTTACCTATTTAACACATAATACAGCTTCCATTAGAAAATTCATCAAGTTGCATTTTCTTTGTTTTTACTTTCTTATTCACTGTGGGTTTTTTCATTACAACTTGCTTGTTACTTGAAATTTTGAAAGTTACCATTGTTGTTTTTGAGTGTGCTGTTTTTCAGTTTGTTTATTGAATGCATAGTGTCAGTATACAGGGCCGGTTGCAGAGAGAACATTTAGATGCCAATGGTGATTTAGAAAATTATTTCAAAGATGAATTTTGAATTTGGTATAAATTTTCTAAATCTGGATTTGTTCATATTTTAAACTATATTGGCAATGAAATTAAATATTGAAACAGAAAAGGATTGTCATTAACTGCCGAACAGCCTTAAGATTTTGTTCCAGAAGCTTTTGGAATATAGCTGGTGACCTTAACAGAGTTTTTTCTGACGTCACAAATGAATAACCGAATTGGCTGAATGACTAAAACAGGAGAGTAATGAAGAAAGTAAGAGTTGATGTTTTTCCAAGGTTCATTTAGACAGTGTTCAGAAATAGATGATCATCATCTTTTGCAATGCATTTTAAACTGTGGTTCAGCCAGCCAACGTCTAGATGCCATTTGGCTGTTAAACATCATTTAACATAAACTCTGTCTCTGCAATCGGCTGACAGTGTTTGTGTGAGGAATGCACATGCTAGCTGACAATTATCATGGAATGGACAGACATACTATTATTATTTGAGGAAGTGCAGCTTGTGTCAAATCTCTCAAACTCAAAATAACCTAAAATATGTTCTTCTAAAATTAAATTAATTTTATAATGCCATAATTTTATAAACCATAAATCAGTTTATATATGATTATTGAGTAGTATTTTCTATAGGAATGTTCATTAATAGCAAATTTTATTGACATAAAAAATTTTTTTCACATAAATTGCATGTCTGAGTATGTAACAAAGATTTATATTTAGAAACAGTTAATAACAACTTTAATCAGACTAATATCATTATACAATATTAGACTATACCTTGTTTAAACACTTAACAATTGGGAAAATTTTCCTTTTACAAATTCGTTCGTTTTTAAGTGTTTTTCTTATACTGACATATTTTAATAATTAATGAGCAAACTGCAGCACAAGAATTTGTCACCATTTTCTGTGCTATTCAAAAATTTGACATACTTTTGCATGATTTTATTTAAATATATGCTATTATTTTCTTATTCTTTTGTTTATTTTCTTATTTATTATTTTATTATTATTTTCTTACTCTTTTGTTTATTTTTAGACAACTATACCAGAAGGAGGCTTGGTACCAAAAACTTATTATATGTCTGATGAAGAATATGAAAGAGAAAAAGCAGAAGGTCATCATTTATTTGATGACTCGATGTATCATTCTGTTAGTATGGCAAAAGGACAAGTACATGAAGTGAGTCAATAAATGTGTTAACCTATTTTTATATTAACCTATGTATTGACCTATTTTTGTATATTTTGTAATAATTTAATTATGTTTATAAATAACACACCACATTGGGATAAAGTTGATAACATACTTGGAATCAATAACTAGTGCGAAAATACAAATAAACAAACAACAAATGTTTTCAAACTTCTTCAGAGTTCTTCTTGAGGCTTTGGTTTATGAGGGCATATACGCATTCTTCTATCCTCCAGGCTTTGGGAGCAGAATTAAGTTTTATAGAGCAGATAGCCATTGCACATGGTTACTCCAACAAGATATCCTTCCACACAGGATCTGTCCTGTAGCCAACTTGCTGATAGAGGACCAAACTGAGCAGATGGAACAGGTCCCTATTACTTTTAACCCTTACTTAAAATTTTTTATTTGCCAGAATTGCCAATAAATGTAGGGTTAGTATTACTTACAGATGTCCCTCTATTTTCAATATGCTATGTAACGAGAAAAACCTTCACACCCCATCAGACTTCCAGGCATAGACAGTGTTCCTAGTGTTACTATTGTTCCTATTAGGGTCAACACATGCAATAGTGACCTTGTGTATATTGGGTCAGCTAAATGCTCCATTGGAATCAGGATTCGAGAACATTTGTTGGACATCAAACACATTAGAACTACCACAGCCCTGTCCACATACACTGCTGATGTGGAGTGTCTTAAATGGTTAGAGACAATGGATATATTTTTAAAAATAATTTCACTTCATTATGCATAAATTTCAGAGAGGAGATGGTTTTGTTGATGGCATGGCAGGCTCTGCTTGATGAGGCGGTTTAGCCTTTTTGTTAAATCTCAATTAAACACGAGAATACACATGTGTATTTCTTACAGTCACATGAAGAAAGAATTGCAGTGAAAAGACTTTTACCTATTTAACACATAATACAGCTTCCATTAGAAAATTCATAAAGGAAGAACTGTTTGAAAGTTTAACCAAAACAAAAAATGGAAAAGCAACAGAAGATGATGGCATAAATGGAGAGTTATACAAATATGCTGGTGATAAATTCCACAAGAGATTATTAACATTCTTCAATAATATATATATACTAGCTGCAAGGACCCGCATCGCTGGGTTTTTATTTGTATGTAATATAGTATGTAATATATAAAAGACTGTTTTTCTAAGTAATCTAGAATCTAGCTGCAAGGACCCGCTTTGCTGGGCAAAAAGTAACGATAGTGAAGATTAAGATAATTACATTATAGCCAATCTTACCCGTTTTCACAGAATGCAAGAATTAGGTCCCCCGTTTCCAGACTAATTAGAGAATTTTTACGTCCAGTNTTTGTAATGTTGTTGGATTGCTATTGATAAGTTTGATATTGATGTAGTAAGATTTTTAAGTTGAGTGGATTTAAGGTAATATTTATGTATGTTATAAGGAAAAATTTGCTGAAGTTTGACCCTTGCTGAATATTGGTTAGGGGAAAATTCTGAAAATTGTAATCTCCTTAGGTACTCTGGTAAATTTTTATTTATATAAATTTATTTTAAAAACATTTTTATGGCAGGAAGATAATATTGATACTTTTCTAATCATTAGTTAAATTATAGTTCATGGAGCAAAATGAATTTATAAATATAAACTTTAATATTGGAAGAGTGGAACTACAGTAGAGCATCGATTATCCGAATCAATTGGGGACTGGGGTTGTTCGAAAAATTGATTTTTCGGATAACCAATTATGTACGAAAAAATATATTAACCTATCCCATGTTGAAATTTGTTCAAATCCCAGCACGTCCTTAAGTATCCTCTTATGATTGCACCAGTGCTGCCAGCTAAAACACGCACACCAACAAAAATAATATTGGAGTAGCCCAAGACAGCCAAAGATTGTAAGTACCAATACATTACTCAATGGAAATTTATAATTCTCACATCTGTGGTGTGGACAGTGACCGAGAGAGGTTGTACTTGCAGCAGCAAAAAAGATGGCTGGCCAATTGTCCATTTGGGAATGAGTGCAAGATTGCTGCATGTTATGGGGGGTTGAAATCAGTGGTTGCTGCACAGAGATAGTGGCATATGGTAAAGGAATTTCATGCCACAGTCTGTCCAGAGACAATCAAAAATTGTTGTTTGGAGCTAAAATGACCACATGTTCAGTTGCAGATGCGCCAAAATTGCAATATGGATGAATGGCATCCATATTGCAATCTGAGGAAAATGTATCATTGGTGAATGGTACCAGTGCCTACATTGAATTTTAAGGTATGCATCTGTATTTGTTTAATAAGGTAGATGCTAAATAATTTTTATTTTATAATTAGAAATATAAGAATTATAGCAAATTTTTCAATGCCTAGTTACTTTACACCTATCCTGTAGAGTAAATAAAAGTTTTAATAAAATATACTTAAGTTGTGGAGTGTTGTCACTATTGAATTATTATTTAAACAATAACTCAATGATAGTAATGACAACCTATAACTAAAAAGAAAAAATTTTATAAATTTTGTATAAATTATACAAATGTTTTAATAAAATTATAAAATATAACAAAAACAAATATATAAAGGATAATTATTTCATAAATTATGTCTAACTGAAGTTTAAATTTTATGTAGAAAATTATTAAAATCAATGATAGAGGAAGTGTGATATGTTGGGATTTTGATGTGATGAAAGAAGATGTTCGTTTTACCGTTCTGTATACTCGGCAACCACTTCCTCCTCCCGAAGCTCAAATTTGTGACGAAGAAGTTCAGGGATGTGCACATGCAGCTCTACCTCTTGCTATGCTAAACTTAGACTCTCCACCATTCCATTCAGTCATCCCAAAAAATTGGGTTCAAGATCAAGATTACATTGTTGTCGAACCAACTCTTACCTGTCATGACGGGGAAAGCGTGCAGGTATTAATGTGTTAGAAGAATAATTTATATTAGTTTTTTTATTTAACTATTTTTTAAGTTTAATGGAAAATTTATTTTGCTAGGGATCTCACGTAACAAGATTTGAAGGAAGTTACATTTTACAATGGCGTCATGGAGAAACATTGCATCATTATTCATTTGACTTTCCATTATCCTCACACAAAGCAAAAGTCATGTATTATTATGAAGTATTGAAATCTCAAGATTATAAGTAAGTATAAGTTTTCTGTTTATCATAATGTGAATATAATAATAATAATAATAAAGTGAATAACATAACCAAATTATACAATATAAATGAGAGCAGATTTTTTTTAGTTTTAACAAAATTTTAGCTAAACTCTTCACATCATTATAATTATCTGAAATTTTATTAATATATACAGTCAATTCTGTTTAATTGGGCCACTGGTTAATCGGGGCAGCCACTTTATTGGGCCAAATCTCAAAGAACTGAAACCAAACTAATAAATTAATACATAATTTAATCGCTTAATTGGGACAGTAGCAAGGAATTTAGCAAGTTTTGATATATTTTAGGGATCTCCGAAAATATGTAGACACTATGTACACTAATGTCGTGTAGGCCCAACTATTGGCAGAGACAAAGCAATTTTGTCTTTCACTTGGACAGTTCAGTTTTTCCAGAAGGATCACCTTAGCAGGACATATAACATGGGGATCCCACTTGAGATAGACCTGAATGCGAGCTACTGAACTTACTTTGGATTGACTGGATGATCCTTTTAAAAGCAAAGGGACAAAGATCCCCTGACAATTTTTCAATGTCTCTCAACTGAGTTGGAAGACAGTTTCTTTGAAGGTATTGTGTGCATAATCTAGATTTGAACAGCAGCCATCTGATCGTTGAGACCAGCATCCAGAGCTGGTGGATTCTATGGATGCTCGTGCTGAAGTCACCCATCTCCAAGTAAAGGAAACTGTGCTCAAAGGAAGATCATAAGGTGACTTTTGGACAAATCCTTTTCTTTCTCCCTTTTTAGTTAGATCATATTCTAACTAAAAAGGGAGAAAGGAAAAATTGTTCAATCAGGAACGAATCGAATGGTTGACCCTTGTGTATGTCACTACTAATACTGTATTTGGCAACACTAGCGTGATGTGAATCAGTTATCTATCGTCGTGAGTCTGGCAAATTTATGGTACAAATATTTTCTGTATTTTGGCTTAATAAAGCATTAAAGTAGATACCTAATTATTATTTTTNTGTATGTTTCAATTGGGAAATATTTCATTGAGAATATGAATCTAGGCATAAAGTTTAATTTTTAAAATTTTGCTTACAGGATTTTCTTTTTTAAAGATAAGAGATTAATATTCTCTTAAAATGAATGGACTTAAGAAGTAGATATTGATGTTTTTGAAAAGAAATAAAATTCTTTTTAATTGTGATCCTAATGTGCCATCTCCAGCTGAATTCCAATTGGTAATTGGCCAAACAATTAAATTTTGCAGAAAATATAAACACACAAACTCAATACTTTTTAAAAAACCCTACATATATATTTTGTAACTGAGACATCTTAAGAACTATCTTTTTAACAAAGTGATTTATGAAAAACACATAACTATTCTAAACCAACTTTAATCATTCCTAAAATAATCTGAAGACATTTTTCAGTTAACTGACTCGAACCATCCTGTATATTCAATTAAATTCTATTACATAGACACACAAAATACACACACAAAGTGCACTTTAAAGTAATGTACTTGTAATCATCTATATTCTTTACATATATCATACATAAGATGTTTTGTAGTGTACTTAATTAGAAAGTATTTAGTTAGTGTAATGTAATTAGTTTTATTTTATTGTAATAATATAATATATAATATTCAGAACTTAGTGTTGAATTAAACTAATAGTAATAATAATAAATTTTATAAGTTTTATGAGTTATTAAACCATAATATGTAGGGAAGTTTGAAAGGAGTGCATGTGTTATAGTCTTAATATTAAAATGATAGCATATAATATATAAAGTCAAGGCTAAAACATTTATCTTTTGTATTTATTCCACGTAGAGGCTCCATGTCAAGTCTTCAGTCGTCTCACAGCGGTACGACATGTACGTCCTCGGGCGAACACTCTGCTCCCAGCTCGTGTCCTTCCAGATGACAATAAACCAGACTGCAGATTTCTTCCTAAATACAAAAAAAAAAAAAGATTTATTCACAAGTTGCCTAGAATAATACCTGTAAATTGTACAGAAAATCAATTATTTGAGATTGTCGGACTATATTCTTTGTTCTAACATATAATTATATTTCTTTTAAAATGTACAGCAGTTATGCAGTCAAATTTTCTACGGAAGAATATTTAGACTTTAATTTTAGACTTACAACGATTTAGTAAATTTTCATTAATTAATTAATTGGGCCAAAATGAATTAGTCCCAATTAAGCAGAATAATCTGTATTTTCGTTTATTAGCTTTTATAGATAAGAGCTAGTAATAAGTGATATTACATTTATCTACCAAATTCATCATTTAATATATAGTAGTGGAAAGTCTTTATGTAGGGATAATTTTTCACATATCCAATTGTCTTGCCACTTGATCACACTGCAGTGATCAACGGATATATTTGTCAAGTGCGGTCATGTGGCACTGGAGAACGACATCAATATCTGCAAAAAAATTTTAGACAAAAATTACTGCAAAAAAAATTCACATAAAAAGGAATTGTGACAATAAAGAAATTTTTTTTTTTTACTAGACGTAACTGTTTAAACAATTTTTTCCGAAATGGAAACAAGAAAAATGTGTGGAAAAATTCTTAAAAAATTTACGACATTTATCCTCCGATACATCGTGATAGTGCCATATCTGATTAACCCTCTCTACAAAGATTAACAATTAAAAATCTGTTGTGAATGGCAAGTTAAGTTAAAATTAGGATTTGTATGTCTTGAATTCATGGGTGCATGGGGTCAGAATGGGCAATTGTTTTGAGATTTACATTATTCCTTTGCTTTTTATAAGTCTGTCATATTTCTACAAGAATAAGCTTATTTTATTAATGCTTGTTCTTAAACAACTATATCTATGCATAATAAGATGGCTTGCTTTTAACCCATAAGCAAACCTTTTTTGAACACTTCATTTTTATGGGATTGCTTTTTCTAGATATGTTAGCTTTGCTTTGGTTTTGGTTTCAAGAAATTGGAAATTTGTTGTTCATTTGTTTAATAATTACTTAAAATGAATTCTACTTACATTAATGTTCTTGTATATTTCTTCACTAAATCAAATCAACAGTATGAAACAATTTATTAAAAATGAATTGTAGTTGAAGAAAGAAAACTGGAAATGAAGTTTTAAATACAACTCATTATGCACATGTCTATTTAATTCAAGCTTTTTTTAATTTAAATTGTTGAATAAAAACTATTTGATCAATGTTGAAAGTTGAAATTGAATTAAACTATAAAAAAGTTTTTTCAGACAGTTTGGCTACTTTTTAAATTCTAAGTAATTTTAAAATTTCAATGAGTCTTTTAAAGAAATATGCTAAATCAAATTGATTATTTGATCTAAATTGTGTTTTGTCCCCAAGATAAAATCTTGCAGGTCCCACTGCTTGGATTATTTTCTAATCCAGTGGAAATCAATGACTACTTTGTTTTTGTTGAAAAACATCAGTTGCCACATACCAAGATTTGCCTATCTGATTGAGATTGTAGATTCCTCTGTCAGAACTATGAAACTGTGCTTTGGTAACAAATACAAAACTGTCAATTTTGTCTTTTTTTTTTTTTTTGAAGAATTTTCATTTTCTTTCAGATTTCTGTTTTCAATGAAGGAATGTATGTTTCAATTGGGAAATATTTCATTGAGAATATGAATCTAGGCATAAAGTTTAATTTTTAAAATTTTGCTTACAGGATTTTCTTTTTTAAATATAAGAGATTAATATTCTCTTAAAATGAATGGACTTAAGAAGTAGATATTGATGTTTTTGAAAAGAAATAAAATTCTTTTTAATTGTGATCCTAATGTGCCATCTCCAGCTGAATTCCAATTGGTAATTGGCCAAACAATTAAATTTTGCAGAAAATATAAACACACAAACTCAATACTTTTTAAAAAACCCTACATATATATTTTGTAACTGAGACATCTTAAGAACTATCTTTTTAACAAAGTGATTTATGAAAAACACATAACTATTCTAAACCAACTTTAATCATTCCTAAAATAATCTGAAGACATTTTTCAGTTAACTGACTCGAACCATCCTGTATATTCAATTAAATTCTATTANAAAGAAGAACAAAACTGTAAAGTAGCAATATTCAGCGAAATTTGACCGATTACAGGTACATGGTGCTAGAGATTATATAAGAATACTTGACAAAGAAAAATGTATAGTTTAATTTTTTAGCAAATGTATGATTAATATTTATTCTAAGTTAGTAAAGTATATAAGTATATGATTATTGTAATTATTAAAAATGGAACTAAATGCATATATGTATATGGAAAACATAGTTCCAGTATTTGCACAAATCGTTCTTCCATATAGCATGAAATATCTTAGCAATAAATATAAAAAGTAGTTGATCTAGTGATAAGTAATGGATTAAGAGCCTGATTTTTCAACAAAGTTGAAGGAAAATTGCCAATATAAACATATATACCAAAAGATTGCTTTTGTGGGGCTAAAAATATGTATTATAATAAGCATGAAATAAAAGTTTGATTTAAATTATAATTCTTCTTTTTGTGTATATAGTTGTGTAGTTTGTAAATATACATATGTGCAGGGAGGCCAGATACATTTTATGGGGAAAGAGTTAATATATAGGCTGAGGTTGAGGATTCAAGTCCAAATTATTTAATAAATTATCAAAAATTTATAATTAATGATTTAGATAAGAGATGGCGCCTAACGTCTACCTCTAATACCAAATTACTTAATATTTAATCATGAATAATAGCATATTTATAGCCCGAATAATTTCTGGTTATAAATGAGGGAAATTGTGGCTATCGGTCAGAAAAATGACCCGTTTCCAAGATTTTTACATTTTATTTGGACACTGGTTTTCCTTATGGATGTTTGTGGGGGAGAAGAATTTCTTAACCCAAATTAAAGATTAATAACTCCTGTGCCTTTTGTCGAAACTTCTGAAATTTTTCAGGGAGGTTTGTGTATTAGGGGCATGGATGCAATTAAAATTAATGGTTAATGGGTCGAGGGAATCGTGTTTCGTACCTCAAGTGGAGTCGGACTTTCTATAGCCCGCACAAGAAATTGAGAGCTATCGGGTCTGGCGAGCGAGTGGGCCTGTGGATGTTTAACAGAATCCCGATTATCCAAGGTAATGTGGATTGATGCCACCTCGGATAAAACGATGGCCGCGGCCATTCTGGAATATAAAAGATTTATGTGATAGAATTTGTTTGGATAGAATTGGACTGGTAAGAAAAACTCAAATGTGTTTGCGCCAAGTTTTCTTCAACATTGTATAAATATCGGAGGCGTGGGATTAAAGTGCAAGAAAAATTTGCATTTAGAGAATTGTTGAGTAAATTTAAAATTTCGGAGATGACATTATTGGTTTCGACTTTTTGCGCAACTCCACATTAAGAAGGCCTTTTTTCGAGCCAATAGTGGGTTCGGCCCAACCCACAATGGGGTGAGGGAGCGAGGCCCGACATCTCCCGAACAGACCATTTCAGGAAACTCCTGGGATTTTCGACTAGCATCAACATTACTTTAGAATAAGTTAAAGTTCTTGACGTCTAAAAATTTAATTAATTTTTAATTTTATTTATTAAGAAACGAAATTATTTTAACATTTTAATCAAGCCCATAATGGCGTTGCCGGACCCGACATGCCGGAGACGGACCACTTCAAAAATTTCCCGAGTTTTTCGAGCGGTCCGGATTCGATTCCGGATCCCTCAATGCCGCAGGCCGACATGTTAACCTCTCCGCCATCCGGCCGCCTCGTTATAAATTTTTGAAAGAATGAAATTTAGCACACCAAAGTTACATCAATGTAAACTCCATTTTAATTCTAATCGTAAAAATTAATGTATTTATTAAACTTCAAATGTAACGGCACTTAAATTTAAAAAATATTTTATAGTAATAAAAAATTTTTGAAAAATGATCAAATTAGGGTCGACTAGAGTGTTGTTGCAAATTATCACGTGGATTGACACCATCAGTAAGACAGTAGGAGTTAAGTCGGTCGTATATCTAAATTGGAAGAATATGCAGGAAAATAAGTATCGTTAGTAGCATTACTTCATTAATACTCATCGAATAATAACTGTTCGTTCTTTTATTGCGGTAGGTTTTAAAATTATAAATATATTTTGAGATAATGACGTATAAACTTGTATTATTAAAGAAATGTGCAATTTTATTTTTCAGTTATATCTACACGATGGCCCTGTTTTTAAGAGGACTTTTGGATGGTCTACGTCGAAACAATCCCGATTTAAGTAATCCATATCGAGTTGTGGAAGTAAAACCTGAAGATCACGTCCATTGCTCGATCCTCTCTCGCGAAGAATGTTTAGTTTTGTATTTAAATAAAGAAAATTCTTCTTACGAAACTGTTCTTCATCAAGGACTCACGTGTTCAAATCCAAATGTTGCTTATAGGTAATATTATTTTTGATTACAGTTTGTTTGTTTGATTAATTTAAAATACACCCAGTTTTTTTTCTTTCGCGAGTTATTTATTTATATTTTCTAGGAGTTATACGTTTGAAAAATATTCCGTTTTTGAAATATGTAGTTTTGAAGTAAGATTGAAAATTATCTTTTTTGAAGCAAATGGCAAAACCTGTTCGACAAGCTAGAAAAGAGGTTTTCTTTAACTTTGCACGATACTCGTTGGGGCCGTCCGTAAATTACGTCCGCATTTTCCTTGAAATTTGTGCTCCTCCTCCTTCGTCGTCCCGGTCTGTCAGAGTCCGTAACCTCCTCCTGTCTTCGGACGTTTGACGAAACTCGATTCCCCTCGAAACCTTTGTCGTTTTACGAATAATAAAGTGCATAAACTGTATAAAAGTTAATGATATAAAATGGATGTCCGTTGAAGTTCGACCCCTCGCCTACCTTCCCCCTTGTCTGACTTGTCAAAACTCCCTCCCTCCCTTCTTGTGTGGATGTCATTTATGGATGGTCCCTTTTGTTTTTTCTGATACATTGCTCCTTGCATTCTTTCGTCTGTCCGTATGTGCGTTTGAATCTAACTGCCCGTCCGTACATTCTTCTCTGTCTCTCTTTTCATTATTAACTAATGAGTGTAATTATTTGAATTACTGTTAACTCTACAGTTCATTCTCAGATCAAATTAAGTGTTTTATAAGTCAGTCTGAATATAATTTATTTTATATTATAAC